ATAGTTCAGTACAGCAACATTGGGTCCAATCCCCAGTACCACAAAAAGAAAAAAAATTAAATAATAAAAAGGTCTGGGGATATAGCTCAGAGGTAGCTTGCCCCTGGGTTCAATGTCCAGTATTACATACATACATACATACATATTAAAAATCTCATTTTCTATGGATCAGGAATCAAGAGCAGCTTGAGTCTACAAGTTCAAAGCCAGACTAGACAACATAATGAGACCTCAATCTCAAAAGAAAATCAAAGAGAAAAAAATAATGAATTGATAAAGACAGCATGCTTCCTCATAATTCAGTGAATTAAAACAGCAAACATAAGCCAAGAATGCCTGTAATCAAGCTACTCAGGAGGCTGAGTCAGGAGGATCACAAGTTCAAGAGTGTGATCTAGCCTCTGCAATTTAGTGAGAACTGTCAAAAAATTTAAAACAATAGTAAGAAGGTCTGGGGATATAGCTCAGTGGTGAGTGCTTCCCTAGAACGTGCAAATCCCTGGGTTCAATCTCCAGTATCAGGGGAAAAAAAAAAAAGTTAACTTAGTTTCTGTGGGTCAGGAATCTGGAGCAGCTTATCTGAGTGTCTTTGGCTTAGGGCATCTCACAAAGCTATGGTCAAGGCATCAATAGGGCTGCCGTCATTTGAGGATCTGCTTCCAAGCTCATTCATGTGGCTGTTGGTTACAGGCCTCAGTTTCTTGCTACATGGACCTCTTTCCAAGCTGTGCATGGTGAGATAGCTGGCTTCTCACGGGAAAAGTGATCCAAGAGAGACAGAGGGGCAGAAACCAACCAGAACAGAAGGTTCTGTGTTTTACAACCTGTTCTCAGAAGCAGGTTCTGGGTTTTACAACCTGCTCTGCCATCAGCCTCAGAAACCAACCCTGGTACAGTGAGGGAGGGGAGTGCAAAAAGGTCTGAAAAGCAGAAGATGGGGGCCACTGGAAGCCACTTTGGAGACAGGCTATCATTGTGTAGAAGACAAAAACTGAGTGTTGCCAAAAGTGTCCTTGAAAATCCCACTTAAAAATCTATAAAGTATGGTAGGCCAATACACAATTCATACAGCCCAGCATTGCCAGTTTTTTCTACAGAGCTGGAACACATTGTTTTCTTGAGTGATAGATGAAGTTGTTGGTTTGAGTTAGGGACAGTGGTTATTCTAAAAAGAAATATACCGGGGCTGGGGATGTGGCTCAAGTGGTAGCACGCTCGCCTGGCATGCGTGCGGCCCGGGTTCGATCCTCAGCACCACATACAAACAAAGATGTTGTGCCCACCGAAAAATAAATAAATAAATATTTTTAAAAAAAAATAAAAATAAAAAAATAAAAAGAAATATACCTAAAAACTAAGATCACATCTGACCCCAACCTGAGCGCATGTGGTCCAGTTCAAGTAAATGACATGAGATGTGATGAGATTTTAATGTACTGGTAAAGTATATTATCATGTCTCAATGACATTTGCCATGTGAAGTTCATTTAGCTGACTCTCCTTGTTTTGACTCCATAGTCACCACGCAGCTTTCCAATTACAATGCAGCTTTCTAGACAGATAAATGTGAAGAAATTGCTCTAATCTAATGTACTCCATGGTGCTGTGATTTAAATGTCCCCTTCGAAACTCATGTTGAAATTTGATTGCAATTTTGGCAGTATGAAGATGCGGGACTTTATGCTGGATGTAGCTTGAGTGGTAGAGTACTTACCTAGAATGTTCAAGACCCTGGGTTCAATCCCCAATACCACCACCACCACCACCAAAACAAAACAAACAAACAAACTCACTATGTCATGGGGGCACTGCCCCCAGGAACAGATTAAGGTTGTTATTCAGAGAGTATGTGAGTTATTTTCACCCCCTCTTATGCTCCCTGACCATGTAATGACTTCTGTCATTTTATGATGCAGCAAGAAGACCCTCACTACTGGGCACAGTAGCACACACCTATAATCTCAGAAATTCAGGAAGCTGAGGCAGGAGGATCATACATTTGAGGCCATCCTCAGCAACTGACTGTCTAAAAATAAAAATTTAAAAAGACTGGGGATATAGCTTAGTGGTAGAGCACCCTGGGTTCAATCCCCAGTATTGAAAATAAATAAACTAATTAATTAATTAAGATAAAAAGGAAGAAGACCCTCCCCAGATGGTAGCACATTGATATTAAACTTCCCATTTTCTAGAACCATAAATCAAAAAAATTTCTATTCTTTCTAAACTACCCAGTCAGTGGTAATCTGTAATCTGTAATGGTAATCTTTTTAAATTGATGGTTGTTCTTCCTCCTCCTCCTCCTCCTCCTCTGCCTCCTCATCCTCTTCTTCTGTAGCATCAGAAAATGGGCTAGTATACATGACTATATTTCTTTTTTTTTTTAATCTTATTTTTTTGGTGGGGTTCTTTTTATTTTATTTTATTTTTTGGAACTGGGGGTCGAACCCAGGGCTTTGAGAATGCAAGGCAGACGCTTTGCCACTGAGCTACATCCCAGCCCACATGACTACATTTCTTATTTGTAAAATAATAAATTGGTATTTTGACTTTTCCTGTCATTCTCTATGCACTAAGTTAATGTGTGTCTGCATCTGAGAGATGGCTTAATTCTTGGTATATTTGCATATTAGGCTCCTGAGCCTGTACCCCTAAGACTCTGGACTTTGATGAATCTACCCAAGTAATGCCACCCTAGGGGGAATTAAGAAAACCTTCCTGGGTGTGGCAGCTCTGTGTTGTACATAGAACATACCCATGTGCTCTTCGACATTTCTCCACTTCTTTGCTATTAGATGGGCCTATGTGACCAGTTCTAGCCAACGGGTTGTGAACATAATTGACACCTATCACTTCTGATCCAAAGCACAGTGAGGTTCCATACCACCTCTCTTCCTGATGCAGCAAACAGGAGACCAGGTAGCAGAACGAAAAAGTTTCTGCCTGGGTCCCTGCATGATATAAGGAGCAGAACCCCTCCTGACCTATAGTAGATAAGTGAGAGGAAATAATGTTTGCTATTTTAATTGCTGTGATTTTTTCCATATTTTTATTGGTGAATTATAATTATACATAATGATGGAATTCATTGTTTCTAGCCACTGTGATTTTGTATATATTTCAGACTTTGGCACAGCCTAACCTACTTCAATACAGCAGGGGATGCCAACTTTGCTGGAATCACTTTTTTCAGCCAATGGCTAGGATATATTTCTAAGGCTCTCCCTCCATGTTCCCTATGTTCCTTCTTGGGAAGATCAGGTAGGTTAAGGTAGAAAGAAGTGGAAGAGGCAAGAAAAAACTTGGCTGGAACTAGTGTTTAAAAGCACTCTCAAACCTTCTGCTCATATTAGCAGAAAACTCATTGAACACATATGCTAATCCTAGAGGCTCTGTATTCTAAAGACATCATTTCCTTTCCCTTTTTTGCAGTTCTGATTATTGACCCAAGGGGGTGCTCTACCACTGACCTATGTCCCCAGCCTTTTAGTTTTTTTTTTTTGTTTGTTTGTTTTTTAAATTGGTGGTTCTTCTTCTTCCCCCCCTCCCCCTCCCCCTCCCTCTCTCCCTCTTCCTCCTCCTCCTCCTCCTCCTCCTCCTCTTCTTCTTCTTCTTCTTCTGTATGTGTGGAAAGGGAGGGGGGTCTTCTTATTTATACATGATGATAGAATCCATTTAATAAAATTATACAAGTGTGGAATATAGATTATTCTAATTAGGATCCCACGATGGTGGGATTCACTTAGGTATTTATTATTTTGAGACAGGGGCTTACTAAATTATGGAGGCTGCCCTGAAACATGAGACCTTCTTGCCTCAGTCACTTAAGCAGCTGGGATTTCAAGCATGTGCCACCACACCTGGCTTCATTTCCACTTGTCTATTCTTTCAGGTATGCCCATTTGCCCCTGCCCCTGCTTCCCAGGCTGCTGCTACATTATGTACTTACGGTCACAATCAGCCTTCAGAGGCTCAGTAAATACAGTAAGCATGATCTGTTGTGCTGACTATTCTGACTCAACTGTACATTGCTAAATGGATAATTAAAAAAAAAATCACTTCCAAAAATGGATACATGGTTTGAAATATATGCAGATGCAGAGTCTTGTGCTACCAATAGCAACTTTGCAAAAAACAATTCAGAGGGGCTGGGGATGTGGCTCAGTGGTAGAGAAGCTGCCTGGCATGTATTAGACCCTGGATTCCATCTCCAGCAACCCCCCGCCCCCACCAAAAAAAATTCAGAGTTCTCTCAGTAACTGTTTCCCAAAAATATCTATTAAAAATTAGCCTATACAAATTAGAATAAAATTTAAAAAATAAGAAAAAATAGCGTACATTTGAGAGAGCAAGTTTAGGCTCTTTCAACTATGGATTTATATAAAATTCTTCATATATTTCAGTCTCAGATTGGAAAAACTTCATACTTCATGAAAACCCTACAGTGATTCTTGCTCTTGGTATCATGATCCATGGCTATGTCATGATAAGTTGTGGGGCATGTGAGAGGCCAGGGGTCACTCATTAAGCTGAGACATGAAAGCTGGGAAATTATTTATTTTTATTGCCAATCAAAAGAGACATAAGATAAATGCAACAATAAATTCACTCTTTAATGCAATTAAGGTGAAAAACTAGGGACATTACAAGGACATAACTAATCAGCCTGTGGTTCTTGAAATGGCTAAGAATTGGCATCAATGCTAAACACTCGAAACAATTCAAAACAGTCCCCACCCCAAAATCAACTCTAGGTGTTCAATATTATAGATTTAACTGAATATGAAGTTATGTTAAAACATTTTATTAAGAGAAGAATCCCTTTTAAGTTATCACTCTAAGGCCACATATCAAAAAAGATTAGCCAAGCACTGTGGCACATGCCTGTAATCCCAGCCATTTGGGAGGCTGTGGCAGGAAAATCACAAGTTTGAAGCCTGCCTTGGCAACTTAGTGAGACTTTGCTTCAAAGTCAAAAATCAAAAAGGGTTGGGGATGTAGGTTAGTGGTAGGACCCAAACGAGTTCAATCCCTAGTACCAGATAAAAAAAGAAAAATTAAAAGATTACATTACTTTTAGTGTGTAATTTTACAATGACAGGAAGTAGCTGAATATACATTTTTTTGTTTTAATTTTTGGTTATGTCCTAATTTTTAGTTATTGTACTTGAGGGCAGCAATGAAGGAAACAATTTTTATATACATTAGAGTTACTTCCATTCTTATCCCGACACATGAGCTATTTTTCACTTTGCTATCTTCACAACCAGTGCTTGTCCACATAAATTCATATTCTCCATATTCACAGCATAATATTGCAAACATTTTATAGCCTACTGTACTTTTTCTTAGTGTTCTACCATGAAATAGTTTTCTAACTCCACATAGTTATTGAGCCTTTAAAATGGTTGCAAAAGGTACTCACACCTAAATTTAAATGGTTTAATTTCACTTCTACTAAATGTATTTCTCATTCTTTGATGTGTAGTCATAATCAAAATAAGTGACATTATTTTTTGCTACTCATTATTTACATTTCAAATACACTCGGTCCAAACTCCATAAGTTAATTAGTCTGGAAGCATTACTAAATCTCCATCAACATGTCTTCCTCTTCCTAACATGAGGATTAATTAAGTGGACTACCATGCTAATTTGCTAAAGGCAGCCGTTCTATTTCCTTCCATGGAAACAATGGTTTGTTGTTATAGATAGCAGCATCACAGCACAACTGTCTCTAGGCTGTCAGCATGCCCTCCAGGACAAGGGCGGCACCACCCTTAATGTCAATTCTTCCTTCAGGTCGTAATGAAATGTACAGTTCTCCTCCTCGAGGGGAACACTGAAATGCTAAAAAAATAAAATAAAATAAAATGAGTCACAAATTATGAACATTTTCACACTCTGTAATTAACAGAAGATAACGAAAGACCTCTTATTACAAACCCTGGAGTTGCAGACTTGGTGGCACATGCATGCAATCCCAGTGACTCAGGAGGCTGAGGCAGGAGGCTCATGAGTTTGAAGCCAGCCTCAGCAATTTAGCAAGGCCCTAAGCAACTCAGGGAGACCCTGTCTCTAAATAAAATATTAAAAAGGCTGGGAATGTGACACAATGGTTAAGTGCCCTGGGTTCAATCCCTGGTACCAAAAAATATTAAAAAAAAATAAAAATTTATACATAAAATAATAAACCCTAGAGTCCTCCCAAGTCAGTTTAAAATATAAATTTCTTCATCTAGGGGTTGGGGTTGTGGCTCAGTGGTAGAACAATAGCCTAGCACATATGAGGCACTGGGTTCAATCCTCAGCACCATATAAAAATAAATAAATAGAATAAAGTATTGTGTCCATCTATAACTAAAGAATTTTTAAAAATCCTTCATCTATTCATGGTATTGTCCACCTCCCCTCCCTTCTTTTGAAGATCGAGAGGGACATAAACATAATTTGATCTACAAAACATACAACCATGCCTCTTCCCTTCCTGGGCCTTTTCCTGCACCACTTCCTCTAGTGCTTCCTGTAATGCCCCAGCTACACTCAACACTTAGCTTTCTCTGGTGTAAGCAAGGATGTGTGAAAAGCAAGAGGCATGGACCAGCAGTCTAAGAAGATGAAGAGGGGTGGTCTTGGCCCTCCTGAGAAGGCCCCATCTTCTCAGTTCTAAAGAGGACAGAGGGAGTTCATTCAATCATAACATATTCAAGCAACCACATGTGCCATGGCAGACAAAAGAGCATGGCCTTAGCCTTCCAGGGGCTCAGTGCTTAGGAGAGTAATTAGACTCACCAAGGAAAGAGAAGAGCTACCCTGCTATCCACTAGGATCACAGAGGCCTACTCCTCCCACTAAGTCAGACCTGCATCCTTTGGGGTTAGAGTCCTGCTTTGATGATCAGAAAGTGCAGCCTCCATTGGCTATGGCCCTGAGCAACATATCATCACCAGGGGATTTGGTTCAAGAGCAATTTCGATCAATCCTGTGACTAACAATAAGATGTAAGTTAACCTTAGTCATCACCCAGTCTCAATCTATCACATTATGAATAACTTCTCTGAGCCAAAGTTATACAGCAATTTAATTCTATTCAACAAATACTTATTGGGCATTTATTGTATCAGGAATGTTTGTGTATTGGGGGAAGCAGAGGTGGAGGATGTTTGGGGTGGTGGATATTTAAGAATATTTAGGGATATTTCACATGGGAGAGCCTTAACATTTTACTACATTTTCAAGGGTATAGTGCATATGTGAAAGAACACTAGCTTAAAATTAGACAAAAGAGATGTCTTACCACGCATTTCTTGCTTCCCTAGCACCTGGGACCAGTAGCTGCCAAGAACAGTGTGTGCAGACCCTGAATAGAAATGAAATATTATAAGACAATCCCAAAGGAAACAGGAGTGACTTTGCAGTAAATTTATAAGCATTTACAATTAATTTTAACTTGAGTAAACCTTAGGTCATCTAATCTTTATATTGACCAGGCAGCAGCAGAATGTGGAATTAAGAATGGAGATAGAAAGGAAAACACAGAATTTATGAATAAGCTCCTCCAAATCATGTATCAAATCTGCCTTACTATTTCTGAAGAATGATTAGACTGCAGGTTTTATTATTTATTTATTTATTTTTGGTGCCAGAGATTGAACCCAAAGACACTTAACCACTGAGTCACATTCCTCAGCCCTGTTTACTTTTTTAAATTTTGAGACAGGGGCTTGCTAAGTTGTTTAGGGCTTTGCTAAGTTGCTGACACCAGTCTTGAATTTGCAATCCTCCTGTCCTAGCTTCCTGAGTCACTGGGGTTACAGGTATGTGCCATCATTCCTGGCTTCTGGTTTTAATTCTTATCTATCAGTTCACTGTCAGCTCTTGGTAGGAAAACCAGGCCTTCACATAAATATTTCTAAATTTTTTCCAGAATAAAGTATTCTTTATTTTCTTCCTCTTAGAGTACATAGACAAGGAAAGTGGGGACCAAAAGCCAATTGTTTCTCAAGGAAATATTCTTGTGCTTTGGAGGTCAAAAAAAATTTTCTTTAGAGTCAATTTTTTTTTCAAAAGATCAGAGATTAGATACAAAAATGAAGAAACAAAATGTGAAGTCATAACTAACAGAAAAGTCTTTGGGGGAGAAAAAGGAAAAGAAGAAAATGTTCCCTGCTTCAGTAAAACTTACTGTTAGGGAATATAAGTAGGGAGACCAATTGTCCTGGTTTGCCCAAGACTAACCTGGCTTTGGCACTGGAAGTTCCACATTCCAAAAAACCCTTCAGTTCCCAAGAAAACCTCAAAACGTGGTGATCATGGTCTAAAAACCTTCACATTCTAGAAAAAAAACATTATGAGGGAGGGGTGGGGACATGTGTTCTTTGTGCCAATAAAATCTTTGGGAAGCAGCTGTGCATGTGGAAATCTTCTCAGAAATTCTCTTCCATGGGGAGAGGTTACATTGGACTATTTCGATGTTGTTGGGCATTTTCCTGAGTCTTCAAAAGTGCTTGTTTGCTGAGCTTTGAATTTCACATGTTTTGTTCCTCAGAGAGTAACTAAGTCAAGGTCCTGAACCAGCCTGGTCTCTACCATCTGACCAGAATGGGAGCCTCAAAGTCTCTACCCAGCCTCCTCCAGCCCCATCCCACCCAGAAACCTGCTCCATCAAGCATCCCCACCCTTGCTGCCCAGCCCACTGTTCTTAAAGAGGATGAAAATGGGACACAACCTGGCTGTGGTGGCATATGCCTGTAATCCCAGCAACTCAGGAGGCTGAGATAGGAGGATTGCAAATTTGAGGCCAGCCTGGACAATTTATCAAGGCCCTCAGCAACTTAATGAGAACCTGTCTCAAAATTTAAAAAAGAAATGAAAAGGGCTGGTAAGTGCCTCATGCATGCCAGGCAAAGTGCACTACCACTGAGCCCCAGCCCCAGCCCCAGCCCCCTGAGCTGCTTTTGTTTCTCTCTTTCTCCTTGCCCCTCCATCCTCTCACTGAAGTCCGTGGTAAAGTGACCCTGGGTTCAATCTCCAGTAGAAAGAAAGAGGTATGACATTCCTGCCCATCTAGGATTTCATCCCTCTGCATCAGGCTGGTGGAATATCTGGAGGTATTGGCTCAGGGGATAGAGTTTCTAGTTATGAAAACAGTTAGGGGCTGGGATTGTGGCTCAGTGGTAGAGTGCTCGCCTAGCACGGGCAAGACCCAGGTTCGATCCTCAGCACCACATAAAAATAAAGGCATTGTGTTGTGTCCATCTACACCTAAAAAAGAAATATTAAAAAAAAGGAAAGAAAACAGTTAGTAGTTGTTGCATACTGACCATGTGACAGGCACTGTACTAAGCACTGAAAATGCATCATGTTTACATAATCCTGGGAAGTATTATCCCAGGATTTTATATTTTATAGAGGAGGAAACTGAGATTTTTAAAATGTTATCTGCCTAAGGTCAAGAACAGGAAGCTAGCCATGCAAAGCCAGGCTATCTGACACCACAGTTTGACCCTATAATATCTCCTTTATAGTGTGTTTGTCGCATGAGACTTCAGTGAGAGGATGGAGGGGCAAGGAGAAAGAGAGAAATAAAAGCAGCTCAGGGGGCTGGGGCTGGGGCTCAGCGGTAGTGCACTTTGCCTGGCATGTATGAGGCACTGGGTTGGATTCTCGACATCAAATATACATAAATAAAATAAAGGTCTATCAACAACTAAAAAAAATTAAAAAAAAAAGAAGCTCAGAACCAAAGAAACCTGAAAGGTGACATGAAGGACACTTAAATAGCTACATGTTTCCTCCTGTTTCGTGTTTAACCCTCCCCTGGACTTAAGGAAAAAAGTACCTGTTACAGGATCTTCAGCCACACCAACCCATGGTGCAAAATATCTGGAGTAAAAATCAAATGCTTGGGTCTGCCCTCCAGCCTCTCCTTTTAGGGTAAGAATGAGTCCTCGCACCTTCCCTGTGTTTTCAACTTGCAGCAGGTTCTCCGTATTCACTTTCAGAGTCTTCAGAAATGACCTTGTTCATAAAAGGATGGATTAGGGAAAACCCATTTCACAGACCTCCCCACTACACAGAATGTGTAACAGGCCCGGGGCAGCTTGCCCAGACAGCTCAGCAGGAGAGGACAGAAGGGCCAGTGGTAGTATCTCCCTAGAAAGAACCTGGTCGCAAGAGTCATGGTTTGACAGGACACAGCACAGACAGTCCGAGCCAGCAGGTGCTCAGCCCTCCTCATAGTGCTGACACAGCTAACAATCACATTTACCTGTCATAAGAATCACTGAGCCGGACAAGGAGTTTTCGGGTATCTGGAGAATATCGGATATCCTGGACCAGTGTGTTGCCTATGGCCATCTGTGGATTTGGACCAAAAACTCCTCAGGAGCACATCTGCAGTCAAGTTCTTGATCACCTCAATGAGGAACGACCTTTCATTGAGCATCTGTTGTGAGCTAGGCAACCCCATGTTCTTCAGTCTCCAAGTGCATTAGCTCACGTGGGGGCTTAAAGTATTGTTCAAAGATGTCCAGTTTCCTAGCTACCCAAAGGGTCTCTCAGGAGCCACTTAGCTCACCCTCTGCCAGCCTCAAAGTAGGCATTGCCCACGAGTGGTTACCACATGCCTGAAGGCACAAACTCCTTTCAATGGGTATCTTCCCCACAGAGGAGACTCAGAGCCCAGGGTTTCTCTCTCACAGGCACACCCATCCTGATCCAAATCTGAGTGGCCCTGGAGTTGAAGCTCTGAACCCAACTCTTAACTGATAGGGGCTTCATTCACACCTCTTAGAATTGTTCTTGTGAGTGGCACATAAATAACATATGTAGAATACCTGCAGCAACAACTAGAACATTCCACATGTTAGATGTCAAGTGGAGACTAGGGAACTTGTCTTGTGCTGTTCTGCTCAGCAGGCACACCACTTACATTTAGGTGGTATGGTACAGATCAGTAACACAACATTTTCTCAAGATACCTGAGTTCACTCTACCTAAGACTACACTTAACCTTGCTCAAACCCAAGAACATTATTTGTTTGTTTGGAAATGGCTTGGTGCTGAGGGAGGCTATGAGGGGACAATTTCCTCTCCAAAAGTCATCCTTTGGGACCACCCCAGCCTCCAGGTGAAGCAGATGATTACATAACTGTCTATGGCCATCCTTAGGTGGCTTTGGTTTCTCTAGGACTGAGGTGCTCAAGCTCCCACTGTCTTGGGTGGTACTTGGACTTTATACCTCAATGGCACAAAGAGGTGGAAACCCTATGGGCTGACCAATGGCCTTTCCCAAAGAAATGGGAACTCTGACAGCCAGATCCCATCTGCTCTCTACCCTCAGTCTAACTGCCCTTCTCTGCCTGAATTCACACATTGATTTAAAAGTTTATTTCTCAGCTGGGAATCTGGATGCCAATTTCTAGGAAGGAACACAAATTAACACACTCATGATAAATGGACCTTTATTATCCCATTTTACAAATGCTGACTCTGAGGCTTAGAGAGACCAGGTGAAGTTTTTTCTTTCATGAACAAGGTTGACCATGATGAATATTTTCCAGGTTCTCACCAATGTCAATAAAGCAATTAATTTATAAATTTGACTTATCTATCTCCTGAAACTCAAGCCATGGGTGAAGCTGGGTATAAAATCAGAATCCATGATACTCAATTATACTCTTTGAAAACTTATGAAACAAAACACTAAAGATATTATAAATACTCTAGTTGAAAATTCACTGAGAAACACTCCAATGGAACCCACAATAAACCATTTAACAGAATAATTTACTTCCCCGCACACTAAGCACCTGGGCACCTGGGGCTGCTCTGGCCCCAGAACTGTAGGATAATTGTAGTGTCTACCTTAAGGATAATATTCAGAATTATATGAAACAATGCAAGTGAAACACTTAGTCATGTTATTGCACAGAGGAGACTCTCAAAAACACTATTATTATATTGTTGTTGTTGTTGTTATTACTATTATCATTCGACACATGCTCATGGAAGATCCATGAGGGGGCCAGGCTGTGTCTGGTCTTCTCTGGAAGCACCCACACTTTCCTGGTCTCCACCAAAGCACACCCTCCCTCCTCAGTCTCTCTTCCACAAATACTGGAGACACTAACAATTGTCAGGCAGCTTCCATTGTTATTTGTATGGATTTCTTGGAATGGCCATTTCTGTCAGAAATCCCAACTCTCATATCTGAACTTCTGTGGCCATGCCTCAGGCTCATTTCTATCCTTCTAGCTAGAAATGGATAGAAATTCCACATCCCCTCTTTGTCTAAAGGCTTGATTTCTCCCAGATACTTAACATCTCCTGAAGATGTTCTACGCTCTTTCTTGCACCTCCTTCAGGTCTTTCTCTCAGTCTGCCCCACAAGTCTTTCTCTCACCCTGGAAGCTAATGCTGATTTTTCTTTTTCTTCGGTGCTGGGGATGAAGCCCAGGGCCTTGCACATGCCAGGCAAGTGCTCTAAGTGCTCTATCACTGAGCTCCAGCCCCAGCCCTAACACAGACAAAAGTAAAATAGATAAATAAGTGGTCAACTTTCTCACCAAACAGATAGAATATTAAAATTTAAACCTGAAATTACCATGCACTATTCAGCTCAGATTCCATTAGAACATTTATACTGGTAGAGGACTATCTTTCAGGATCAAATCATACCAAATCTTTGTGTTCAAACGATAATAAATTAATGAATCACAAAGGTTCATATTTGATTCTTTTCACAAACCTTTATCAGGTCCTCTACTTCGTGGAACTCCTAAAAGTGGAAAAAAACATAATATCATTGTAAAATAGGCAAGCTGTTGGTTGTACACATTTTGTGTCATAATTAAAAAGAGCTGACCTGTGGGTAGGTCGGATAAAGAGGAAAATCCAGGATGATACCATCCTCTGCTCTTCTGGCCTTTAGTTCCCCACTCAGAGTGACAAAGGTTAGAATATTATTTGTGTTTTCTGGCCAAAAGTAAAAACAAAAAAGAATCAAGAAACAAGAAAATGAACTATATTATACACTTATATATCTATTTCAATCACCTTAGTGTTGTCTTAAGATTTTCTAAATTGCTGAGGCTGGCTTTAAACTTGCAATCCTCCTGCCTCAGCCTCCTGAGCCACTGGGATTACAGCATGAGCCCCCATGCCTGGCATGTCTTAAGATTTTCTGGCAATGCTGTCCTTTCCTGTGATGGAGGCTCAGGTCTGAGTTGCTGGGGTCTAAAGTAGAAAAAAACCCTCACTGGTTTCTAACTTGAGAACAAGGAATACAACTATTGGAATGTGTCATCATAATGCAAGGCTTTGTAATTTAGCTCCTATCTGCTTACTAACTATGCTCTTGAGCAAATTATTTAACTTCCTTAAGCCTCAGTTTTCTCAGCTATAAAATGGGGTTAGGGTTAGGGGTGTAGCTCAGTGGCAGGGCACCTGCCTATGTGCACTAAGCCTTGGGTTTGATCCCCAGCATGGAGGGAAAAATGGGATAATAAGTAAGTGTACCTGATAGAGCTGCTATAATGTTTTTTTTTTTTTTTCTTTTGGTTTCAGGATTGACTCAGGGGTACTTTACCACTAAGCTATATCCCCAGCCCTTTTTATTTTTTGAGACAGTGGGTCACTAAGTTGCTGAGGTTGGTCTTGAACTTGTGATCCTCTTGCCTCAGCTTCTCAAGGGATAATGTTTCACTGGGATAATATTTTCTAATGCAGATTTTAAAATATCCATCAACGATAACTATAGAATCATAAACTTGATTAGTTTAAGATGTTCTCTCTTTTTTTGCCTTGAAATAACATTCATTATCTTACTGTTCTGAAGGCAGAAGTCTAAAATCAAAAGTGTCAGTAGAACCATGTGACCTCCAAAGGCTACAGGGAAGAATCCTTTGCTTTTTTCATTGTCTGATTAAATCCAGTTGTTCCTTAACTTGTTTTTGTGTGTGTGTGTGGGGGGGGGGAGATGTTGTTGTTGTTGTTGTTGTTTTCTTTTTAGTTACACATAACAGTAGAATCCATTTTGACACAATTATACATACCTGGATTATACCTTATTCTAATTCAGACCCCAGTACCTTTCCTTCCCCTGCTCCCTGCTCCCCTCCCTCTATTATCTTTTTACCATTTATCCATAGTTATTATTATTTTTCTAAGTTAATTTCTTGTGGATGTACACAGTGGTGAGATTCACTGGTCATGTATTCATATATGAACATAGGAAAGTTATGTCCAATTCATTCTACTGTCTTTCTTGTTCCCCCTCCCTTCCCTTCATTCCCCTTTGTCTAATCCAATGAACTTCTGTTCTCTGCTCCCCATTATTGTGGATTATATTTAAGATATTCTAAGGGGATGACAAAACAGGTAAGTTGTGAACAATAGTCTTACGTGCAAACAAATCAAATTCACCCTAAGTAAACCAAGCTATACATAAAAATTTGACTTAAAGAATACCACAGGGGCTGGGGATATAGCTCAGTTGGTAGAGTGTTTGCACAAGGCCCTGGGTTCAATCCCCAACACCACCAAAAAAAAAAAGAATGTACCACAGGGCTGGGGAGTGTGGTTCAGTGGTAGAATGCTTGCCTAGCATGTGTGAGACACTGGGTTCAATTCTCAGCACTGCATATAAATAAATGAATAAAATAAAGGTCCATCAACAACTAAAAATACATATAAAAATAATTTTTAAAAAATAATGTACCACAATTCAAAGTCAGCCTCAGCAACTTAGCAAGGTTCTAAGCAACTCAGTAAGACCCTGTCTCTAAATAAAATACAAATAAAGGCTGGGGATGTGGCTCAGTGGCTGAGTGCCCTGGGGTTCCGTCCCAGTACCAAAAACAAAACAAAAAATGTATCACAAATGCTGCCATATCCCTTTGTGAACCAACTTAGGTTATTCATCTAACATTTTTTTATCTAACCTTTTTTTTTAAATTTGTAAACTAATTCTTTTCTCTCACTAATATTTCTGTAATATTTAACCATTTCTCAAAGGCAAAGAAATTCAGCATTGCATACTAACTCACTGAGCATAAAATTTACATTCTGAAACCCAAAGCTTTATTTTTCTCATTATAATTGGTGTAAGACATAATTTGCAAAGCATTTTTTTTCACACGTTATCTCATCTAAACTTAAGACTCCATAGGAGACTGAGAGATTATTATTCCAAACCTCAGAGCCATTCCAACCAATGTGGGACCCTGCTTTCAAAAGACTCAGTCCAACTTCATTAAACCCTTCTTTTCAAGATAGAGTTCCTACACAATATTTCAGGATGTTTGCTTTTCTTCACTCTGGTCCCCTATGCACATAAACCCAAATCATCTTCTTGTATGCTGGGTTACATGATAGAGGGCTCTTGGTCTAGCCCTTTCTGCTAAGCCTGTCCTCCCTCAGGACGCTCCAGATACTCAGATCAAATTTACTGCAGCTTTGCATTTGCTGCTGCCTCTCTATGATGCTGATCCACCCACTCCAGCTCTTTGCTCAGGAGACTTTGTCTCATTCTTCACCCCAAAGGTCTATCTCTCTAGAGGGTGCTGGTATCCAGATTCTATCTCCCACCTTGGGGCTGGGACTAGGTGAAGCAAGGAAGTCCAAGAGAGTGCCAAATTTAAGGAGGCACCTGTTCTCAGGTGCAACCTTGAAGCTTGCTTGCTTTTCCATGCCCTGACTCTGCTACCAGTAGTCTAACAGCTGACAGCTCTCAGCTGAGTCTCTCTCTGGGAATTGCCCTTAGCTGAAGAGGGGTACTTTACCCAAAGTAATGCTTCTTTTCAGGCTTGAGAGTTGGTTCACGGAGGGTAAAAAGGCCTGAACTTTTGCCTCTGTTCTGAACTTTACCAGTTGAAAAAACTTCCAGCTTCATAGCTCCTGTGGCCTGAGCCAGGTAAGTTGTGAACTGTCTGTCTTTGTTGCTACTACTTTTCAGGTCCACCCCTTCCTCTCTTCAATCCTGCTTTCTTGAGCCCAATCCTGAGCCCAAGAAAAATTCCCCTCAATTCTTCCTGAATACAAATGTCTCTCAGCCTGTTTCCTGGGAGAGTTTGCCCTGTGACATCTTCCTTTACCCTCACCATCTGAAGTAACTCCCCTAAGACCTTCCTTTCCCAGCTGCCCACTCCCAGGCTCCCTCTCTGTCACATCATCCTGTTTCTGTGTTACATTTCTTTTATTGTCTCCCCTTTCCAGGCATTTCCAGATATCTCTCTATCCCATTCCCACAAATCCCTGAGGGTTATCATGCAGTTAAGAACTGGCAGGATTAAGGGGCTGCACCATCTTAAGGTAAATGTTGATGGTCAGGACTCAGGAATCTTTAAAATTCATAGCAAAGAAATTCTTATTATAGAACAAATTTCAATGTATGTCCCAATATTTGGAACAAGGTGTGCCTTTTGGTTCCCCAGTATCATATCATGTGAAGCACTTATTCTGCCCTAGCCAATCCCCCTGCTATGTTGGTCACACACACACAAAAAAAACCAGAGATCTATTTATAATAAAATGGCTTTCCAGGGAAAACCCAAGGATGCCCACTGCATACTCATAAAGGCTAAAGTGTGATTAAAGGTTGCTTGTTTTTTCTTTTCTTTTTTTTTTCTGCACCATTGTATGAAATAAACTGCAATACCTTTATACCACTCACTTTGGTCCACTAGAAAGAGTGGATGAGAATTTTTAAAAATATATATTTGCTATAGGTAAGTGATAGGTTCATTAAAGAAATTCACATTACTTATTTTGTAAAACAGCACAGCCGAAGATGCCAGGGTGGCGTGACCACAGAGCGGGACCTCACTCGCTGGTGTGAACCACCTTAGTCCAAAGCAGGAACCTTCAGAGGAGGAAAAGTCAAACAGAGACAAGGTCATTCCTCTAAGAGAAGATTGCAAACTTTTCATTTTCTTCTTTCCTAAATACATCACTAGCATGATTAATACCAAAACTCGTGAAAGGGTGAGTGCAAGCTAGACCAGCATCCCAGGGCCCCTGGCTCTAGGTCTGGAGCTGAAACATTCAGGTTCACCAAACACCCTCCTAGTCCATTTTGTATTGCTACAATGGAATGCCATATGTTGGGTGATTTATAAAGAAGATAAATTTAATTCTTATAGTTGAGGAGGCTGGGAAGTGCAAGGTCACGGGGCCTACATCTGATAAGGGCCTTTTTGCTGCATCATCCCACAGCTGAAGGCAGACATGCAAGAAAACTCATATGCATGAGCACTTGAGCAACATGGGACCAAACTTACCTCTATAAGAAGTCCATTCTTGAGACAATGAACCCACTCTCACAATAAGACATTAATCCATCACCTCTCATTAGTCCCTACCCGCAACATTCACATTGGGAATTCAATTTCTAATACATGAATTATTGGAGATGCTGGGGTCTCATAGCTCCTTCAAGGGCCTGCCCCCAATGAGCTAACTCATCTGGGGGTGACACATTTAAGCCATAGCATACCCTTTACCCGAGATAACCAAAAGCAAATCAGAATCTTCTAGATCTACTATCTGCATACAAATAATAAATGAGAATTTCCCTTACATAAAATCATTCCCTCCCAAAAAGTAACTTCTGGTGCCATTCAAGAGGGTAAGAAAAAAATGCATATTTACTTTGTGTGAAGTTGTCTGTCGGGTTCAGTTTTTGGATAAAAGCAGTTTCAGAGAGGTTCATCTCCTGGGCAATTTTTTGATGCAAGTCTTCATCCAATTTCTTAATTAGAAACAAAAATGTTATTGAGACTCCAGAAACAGATCAGACTTCTTTGGATAGCAACTACCATTAGCTAACATAACAATTTATTAATATTAAAATATATACACTTAAAAGGAAATTCAAGTTACATGCCAAGGAATTCAAGACACTTTTACAAAGATTATTTTCTAGAAATTGATACTTGCAGTGTCCTGTGAAGAAAAATTATAAATGTGCAAAGCTAAAACAGACTGAAAACTCAACTGGCCTGGTCTATCTTTTATCAGATTAATATCTATTCTGAATTCATGTGCTCTCTTCTAAAACCAATTTCCACAAAAGGAAATTCCTCAATCTTCCATGCTAAGTTGGATACTGAAATGTTCAGTAGCTACTCTTGCCAGGTTAAACCACTCCTCCCCCCTTTTTTTCATGGGTTACTCCCTCTTGTGGGAAGGGCCTCAGGCTAGCGGTTACCTCCTCCAGGAAGCCTTTCTAGTTCTTCCCAGTACCACTCTGTTCAAAAATTTCGTCCTTGGTGTTCAGATTTCCTGTAGCTGGAGAGTTCTTGATTGTCTGCCCTTACCCACCTCACTCTAAACTCTTTAAGGGTATGGACTGTGCTACCTTGCTCTGTCTGGGTCCAAGACAATGCCTGGTACTCAACCCAGGATAGTAGGATCTCAATAAATATTTGCTGAAAGAATAAACCCATTATTTCACTGCATTTCATTAATGCTTATGGTTTGAATCTTAAATGTTCCCCAACCCACATGCTAAAGGCCTACTCATCAGTCCAATGTGCTATGGGGACATTTAAGAGGTGGGGCCTACTGGAAGGAAGTTAGCTCATTGGGGGCAGGCCCTTGAAGGGGCTATGAGACCCCAGCATCTCTCTCCCACTCCTCTCTTTCTCTGCTTCCCAGTTGCTATGAGGTGAGCAATCTTCTTTCACCATGCACTCCAGCCTTGATGTGCTATTCTGCTTCAGGACAAGCAACTATGAACTGAAACCTCTGAAACTATAAGCCAAAATAAAACTTTACTACTTCAGAGTTGTTTTATCTTGGGTATTTGGTCTCAGCAACAGAAAACTAACACATTTTAAACCCTCAGGACAGATATTTTTATACTCTTACAGATGAAATTAAAAACATGTGGGTTGTGTATGTGTGTAAGATTGTGATATGACTAATAAATGGTACAGTGATTTAGAATATGGGCTTAAGTCTCAAAAAGGCTGGGGATATAGCTCAGTGCTAGAATGTGGGCTTAAAGCCAGGCATTGTGGCACATGCCTATAATCCCAGCTACTCAAGGGAATCACAAATTCAAGGCCAGCCTGGGCAACTTAGTAAGAACCTGCTTCAAAATGTTAACCTAGAGAGAGTTCACCTAGCATGTACAAGGTGCTGAGTTCAATCTCCAGTACAGCAAAAAAAAAAAAAAAAAAATGTGGATTTTGAGCCAGCATGGTAATATGAGCCTCCCACTCCAGAGGGTGAGGTAGGAGGATCCCTTGAGTGCAGGAGTTGGAGGCCATCCTGAGCAACACAGTGAAACCTATTTGACAAAGGGGGAAAAAAAAGAAAAATGTAGGCTTTGCAAATGGAAAAAATTAGTGAATTGAGAGCAATGACATATGGTTATTTATATTCATATTCTTTTTAAAAAAGTTTTTTTTGTAGTTGTACACGGACTGCATGCCTTTATTTTGTTTATTTTTATATGGTGCTAAGGATCAAACCCAGTGCCTCACAAATGCTAGGCAAGTGCTCTGCCACTGAACTACAGCCCCTGACCCCATAGTACCATTCTTAAAACTTTTCTGTAGGTTTTTAATTTTTCAAAATAAACTTAAAATCATAAAAATGTGGGCTTTGGAAACAGACAAAACTGTATGTATAACCTGGATCAGACTTTGTAGTAGGGTAAGAATGGACAATCTATTTAATCATACAGAGCCTCAGTTTCCACACCTGGGGGTAATAAAATAAATAAAATGGGGGTAATAGCACTTAAGTTAGTGTAGGTAATAGCACTTAAGTCAGTGTAGTCCTACAGAAAAAGAAGTGGCTTAAGAAACTCATACTTATGCTGGGTGTGGAGGTGCAACAAGTAAGTAATACCAAAGAGTATGTAACTGAGGTATGTAGGGGGTTTTGGGGTTTTGTTTATCTTGGGGTTTCATTTGATGCTAGGGATTGAATCCAGAGCCTTGAACATACTAAATATGTACTCTAACACTGAGCTCTATGCCTCCAGCCCTGAGATATGTAGATTTTGACAATAAATACCCTAGGACTTTAAAGATGAGGTCTTGTGGTGCACCTCTAATAAGGCAGATTTAGAAGGAAAATGTGGGCAAAGAGTTTGGTCAAGTCATGACTTCACTTGTGTTCTCTTATTAAATCAGAGATTAACATACAACACCTTTGAGTCAGGTGCAGTGGCACACACCTGTAATCCCAGTGGCTCAGAAGGCTGAGGCAGGAGGATCACAAGTTCAAAACCCAGCCTCAGCAAAAAGCTAAGCTCTAAGCAACTCAGTGAGACCCTATCTTTAAATAAAATACAAAATAGGGCTGGGGATATGGCTCAGTGGTCAAGTTCCCCTGAATTCAATCCCCAGTACCTCTCCCCCAAAAAAAGATACAACATCTTTGACACTCTAGAATTCTGTGCGCCAAAGTTAGGAAGAAATTGGATAGTTTTAATGAAGTAGAATGAGCACTGTCATACCTGTAGGCTTGAGCGAGAAGTCCCACCTGAGTAGAAGAGTGGGTGGAGCTGCTGTTTAAGTCACCAAGGCAATGATGCTAAGAATTTAACTCAGATACTTTCCACTGGTATATTGGATGTTCTCTGTGGAAGCTGACCCACCTGCCCATGCATACGACACACCTGATGAAAACTGGGAACTGTTTAGGTCCTGTAGTTCAGAGTCTACAATCACAGGCCACAATGGTGACTGAAGGGGAGATAAAGAAAAACCACTGCTGCCCTAGCTTCTATACACTGGCAACTACTTTGCCTCTAGAAGAAGTGTTGACCAGAGCTGAGTGTGGTGTAATCCCAGCCACTCTGGAGGCTGATGCAGGAGGATTGCAAGTACAAGGCCAGCCTAGGCAATTTAGCAAGACCCTGTCTCAAAATTTTAAAAAGTGGTAGAGCATCCCTAGTTTCAATCCCCAGTACCACAGTGGTGGGGAGCAGAGTTGACCATCTCTGTGGCAAGGTCCTTACAAAGCCAACTGACTCTCTAGGAGGTTCTGTCAAGACTAAGGAATAAGAAACAGGTGGCGAAGGTGGGATCCCTTCTGGGCAGGGGCAGGGTTCACCCTTCCCACAAGTTGTTCCAGGAGACACACATGACTTACCCTTCCAGATACTTTTAGCAAGACTTGCAGTCAATTACAAGAGCTTGGTTGTGATTTCTAGTATCTTTTGCAGAATTAAGCCTAAAATCTTTGTCACTTCCTCCCTTTGTTAGCTGTGACTGCTTTTCTCTCATACCAAATGAGGCAGCCCCTGAAATAATGTTAAATATGGCCATGAAACTGCAAGGACAATGAAGACCAAGGACAGGTGGATGTGTAGGCAGTTGCTCTGTAAGTTTCACTATTTTTTAAATAAAATCAAGAAAATGCATGTGTTTTACCAAGAACCTGAAAGTTGCTGTAGGGGATCCCATCTCTATCAGAGGTATCCCTTTGGCATTGTAAAAAGCACATGGTACTATTAATTTTTTTTAAATCTCAAATCTAAAAAAAAAAAAAAAAGCCAACCTTTAGCTGATTTTCCTGGATTTACCTCCAGGGCTACAGAAACCTGGCATGCCTTCCAGTTCTTTCTATTTGATCTAGCGAAATTTTCTCTCCTTATTCTTCCTTTCTTTGCCTATAGCTTCCTGTGATCTTTAGGACAAGAGTCTTGAAAAGCATTAAAGCATCCCAAATTGTAGCCAAGGTCACCATCTATTCATAATAAACTTGTGTGCAAATGGACTTGTTTTACATACTACCTAGGACACTCATTTCACTGCCCATCAACTCTGTAATTCTCTCTACCTTACCATATTGCACTGATTGCAATTTGAATTTCTGTAACTAATTTCTGTAGCAGGACACTTTAAAATACACCTGCTATTTGCCTGAGCAACTGGAGATAATATAAAAAGTTTGAAAATGGCAGCCTTCAATATGTACCACAAACAACTGAACTTTCACTGGATTGCTACACTGGAACAAAAGGTCAAAATAATGTTGAATCACGAGGAGGCTTCAACTATGGGAGGCTTAGAAACAAACAGTGTATTCATCTAAATACTGAATTTTGGAGCTGTGGGTACAGTTTAGTGGTAGAGCACATACTTAGCATGCATAAGGCCTTGGGTTCTACCCCCATAACCCCCCCAAAAAAAATTGAATTTTTTTTTACCAGCAATATTTTCCATTTTAATACTCAGACTTCATTTTAAATGCTGCCTGTAATAGTTACAAACCTGGGCTGGAGATATAGCTTAGCATGCATAAGACCCTGGGTTTAATTCCCCAGTCCTGACCCCCTCCCCCAAATGACAAACTGAGAGCTATACTCTTGCTTTAGGATTCATTTCCCTTTGGCATTCTCACATGAATCAAATTTCCAAGAGCAAAAAAAGAGTGATGTTTGCTTTTCTGAGTTCCAGTGTCCACTTCCTCAGGACATTGAGGTTCTGCCATCTTATGACCCACAAGATTAATGATCAGAAAACCAGAATAAGCTTTAAAATACTCCCATCTTGTGGCAGTTTAGAAACATGGCAACCTAAATATGACAGCCCTACCTCTCTTTGCCCCTGCACTATGCTAAATAGATCCCAGCAAATGAAAGCACCTTGATGTAGACAGTTCTAAAACCACACAGAAAAAAACAGGAGATTACTTTCAGATTTCCTATAGTGAAGTCGTGTCCATACAATGCAGGATTCGCATCGTGGGCTGCCTTCGATTGTTCCTGATACTTCTTACATATGC